AGTTTGTAGTTTCAATTGAATTTAATTTTTTATATTTTACCGGGTACCCGTGAACCGAACCGTGGTTACCCCCTTTCATACGGTTCGGTTCGGTTCAGTTTTTTTGTTAATACGGTTCGGTTTCGGTTAGTGCACATGAGGTACCCGCCCCGTGGTCACGGCTCACAATTTTATTACTATCCGAACCGAACCGCCCTCTGAACACCCCTATCACTTATCACTTAGATACTATATTGGGATGAATTATTTTAATAGAGTAAATTACACGAATGGTCCTTATGGTTTGGGGTAATTCATGCGTTTGGTCCCTTAACTTATTTTTTTAACTCATCAGGTCTTTACTATTTGTTTTTGTTACGCATTTGGTCCCTACTGTCTGTTTTTGTTACGCGCGTGGTCCCTATCTTACCTAAAAAGACTATTATTTAAATAGGAAAAAATGATGGGGTAAGTAAGGCAAGGTGAGGGGAGTGGGGTTGGGGTGTGTTTATTTAAATAAATTAAAAAATCAAAGGCTAAATAGTTTTTTTTAGGTAATACATGGACCAATCCTGTAACAAAAACAAACAGTAGGGACCTTCCGAGTTAAAAAAATAAGTTAGGGACCAAATGCGCAAATTACCCTAAACCCATAGGGACCATTCGTGTAATTTACTCATTTTAGTAAGTTGTAAGACTACATGTTATGGGCCCGTTGAGGGGCGTTAGAGTCGGCGTGACGAACCCTCAATGACGTGGTAACTGCGCAAACACTGCCTCCCACTTGTTATGTTATCTCCCGTTGTCATCAAAGCGACTCGTAACAAGCTTATTTTCAATTTTGAATGGCCAAAAGACCTTTGCGAATAGTCAAATTTAAAAATTAAAAAAAAATTACATATAAATTTTTACCTATATATGTTATATTTACATAAAATTTGTATTACAACATTCTTCTCTTTATCTCAATATATTCAAAAATCAATTCATTTTTTCAACTATGGAGCAAAACTCAAATACCTCTCCACCAAACAAAAACACATCCGTTCCGACCGGGTTCACGTAATATGAGATTATATGAACATCCTCAACTCTCAAAACTCACCACAAATATCATTTTAAAGAAACTATTTTAATCTCATCTCACCCTCAATATAATTTCCTACATCGCCCTACGTTCAACAAAAACCCAAACCTACAACAACAAATTTTCAATACTTTTTCTTCCGTGTCACAAACAACCACACAACCACCACTCACACAATCTACGCGAGATATGGTTGCTGAAACGCAAGCGGGAGGTAGTCGAAGAAGTAGAGGAAAAAGGGGAAATAAAGGTAAAGCAATTACGGAAAGCGAAGAACCTTCACTATGGTGGACACCGGAGGAGGAGTACGCTTTGGCGGTAGCGTTGTGCGGGACTTCCAAAAATGAACTTGTAGGAAACGATATGAGGAGAATTGGTTTTTGGGAAGTGATGCTCAGAAAATTTCACACATTTATGAAGAAACCTCCATATCGCAATACTGATATGCTTACTAGAAGGTAGACTCCAATCAGTCGTAGGCACACCAAGTTTAATACGATCTACAACAACCTTGTTTCGCAAAAGCAAAGTGGTACGAACGATTTTGATTTGTTTGAAGCCACCAGGGAGCAATATCGCATCGAAATAAGTCACATTTTTTAGTATAAAAAAATATAGGAGATTGTGAGAAGATCCAAAATTGATTAAAACGCCAACATCGTCAGACGTACAAATGTATAATGTTATTTTTAGTTTTTAAATGTTATTTTTAATTTAGGATTTAATTAAATAGCATGTTTTATTAATTTATATTTGTTTTTATAAATACTATAACATAAAAAAAACAAATTGGAAAAAAACAGAAAGTAAATAAATCAAAAAAAATCAAAAAAAAATGATGACATAGAAATTAGTGGGTTTTAAAACATGTCGTTCATTTCCACAATTAATGTTATAACACAATGGTTTACATAGCATGTGAAGTAGAGGTAGCAATGGGTCAACTTGGATTGGATTCGGGTTCAACCTATTTAATAATTGTGTTGAAATTTTCAATCCAACCCAACATGTTTACTTAAATGGGTTGCTATTTCCAACACAACCTAACCTTTTAAATAAATGGGTTGTCACCGGGTTGATATGCTTATGTAGTTCCTGACTCAACCTATTAAATAAATTGGTTAAATTTGGGTTAACCCATTTAAAATCAGTTAAATAAATTATATAATTAAATATTATACCACTTCAATTATAAAACGTAAATAAAACTTTATAATTATGACAAAAGCACAATCTTAATTCATAAATACAAATAAATTGTTCAAATAACTTTAAAAATGTTTAATTTCACAGTGATTTTGGAGAGTGACCAGTATTTTCAGCGCTAAAAAAGGATGGAAATTATGGTTGAATTTTATTAAACATAGATAATAATAATGCAACATTACAATTTACAAATTAATACTTACATGATAATATTCAAATAATATTAAATTAAATATATATATTAAAGTTAAATAGGTTGACTGATTGATAATTTTTTATCCAACCCAACCTATTAAATTAAATGGGCTAGACGGGTTAACTCATTTAAGTTAATTGGGTTGAAAATCTCAACTCAACCCGCTAATTTTGAGTTGGGTTGGCGGGTTGGGTCGATTTTTGCCAGCTCTAATGTGAGGTGGTAGCTTTTTGGTATGATAACATGTATTAACATGTTGTCCACACCTAGTAACCTAATGTATACAAAATTATAATGACTAATATATATATATATATATATATATATATATATATATATATATATATATATATATATATATATGGCTAGGTTGTTTTATTCTAACTATTTATTGTGTGGATGTAGGGTTGATTGTGGACTAATTATTTTGCTTATTTTAAGAAAGTGATTAATAAATATTATTGAAATAAAAATAATTGAAAAAAACCATCTAACTTCACTATAATAGTATTTTAGACAATTGAGATAAATTTTGAAAAGGGAAAATTCCAGATTTTTGGGGATAATTTATTCTCTTGATTTAAAAATTCTGGTTTTTTTAGTTAATTCGATTTGAATTCTAACATAGTTTTTAATTATACCGGTTTTATTCTGTCAGAATGGTATTCTACAAGAATATCAGAATACATATTTCTGACAGAATACATATTTTGATTAAATGAACTTCTTTAAGAAGACAACATTCTTGAACATTAGTTGAAAAACAACAAGATCCTTTGATATTCATGGACATCTAAATGTAGATTCATACATATATAATTCGATACATTTTAGTATAATTATACATATTCTAACAGAATGTCATAAAAATGAAATAAATTCTTAAAAAAAATAACATACTTAAATATACATTTCTTGAAAAAATACACTTGATCTTCTTCAATGGTCCAGAGTCAACTTGATTCCAACCATTCTTACGAGAATGGCATTCTATAAGACTAACATCGGACGAGAATTACATTTTATAAGAATATCATTCTATGAGAACACGTTTATCTTCATCATTTAATATATGCAATGCTCATGTCTATGCCAAAAAAATACACATTATCAAATCCTATGATAAAATACCCTTACAAACTTTAGTGATTCTGACATAATGCATACCACATGATCATAACCAAAGAATTTTATATGAGAACCCAAAGAATATTGTCCTTCCTTATTCTAACATAATACTGGCCTTCCTCATTCTAAAGTCTTCGTCATTCTGAAAGATATATTTACAGGTAAAACCAAGATTCAATCAGTCGTAAAACCAATGATGTGTACGGTCACGCCTTCGCCTTGCCACGGTCCTCTGAAATACCTGAAACCATAAACCAAAATTGTAAACACAAAGCTTAGTGAATTCCTCCAATATACCACCACACAAACAAATCACATGCACAAACACTCATGACTGGCCCAATCAGCCTAGGGCTGGAATACCAGACATATCTACGATGGGCCCAGTCATCCTCGGGATGGAATACCCTCGTATCTTAAGCATGTTTGGTCCAATCAACCATCGGGTTGGAATACCCCCGGCCTGTTGATTGATGCACAAAGCAGTCTAGTCTCAATATATATCATAACAAGCATGTCGGTTCCAATCAACCATCGGGTTGGAATATCACCATGCCCAGTCAACATCCATGTCCAGTCATCCATCAAAATGGAATACCCCAGGTTGGAATTCCAATATATATAACGGGTCTAGTCATCCTTGGGATGGAATACCCTCGGCCCAATCAACCATCAGGTTGGAATGCCCCAGATATGTTAGCTCACGCACATAGCAGTAAAGCCTCAACCACCAACAATATGTAGCCATATAGCAGATAAACATATAAACAGTCTACAGACAGTCAGGCATATCTA